GTGAAAACAACAATTGGTGAGAAAGCTTCAGTGGAGATACCTTTTTCCCATGATAACTCTTCCAGGAGTGAATTTCCCTGGCCTCGTTAGTAATTGTGGATTATATGGCAGTGTAGAGTCATATAATAGAATCATAGAATCAAAGAGTTGAAAGAGACCTCCTGGGCCATCCAGTCCAACCCCATTCTGCCAAGAAGCAGGAATATTGCATTCAAATCACCTCTGACAGATGGCCATCCAGCCTCTGTTTAAAAGCTTCCAAAGAAGGAGCCTCCACCACACTCCGGGGCAGAGAGTTCCACTGCTGAACGGCTCTTACAGTCAGGAAGCTCTTCCTCATGTTCAGATGGAATCTCCTCTCTTGTAGTTTGAAGCCATTGCTCCATTGCGTCCTAGTCTCCAGGGAAGCAGAAAACAAGCTTGCTCCCTCCTCCCTTTGGCTTCTTCTCACATATTTATACATGGCTATCATATCTCCTCTCAGCCTTCTCTTCTTCAGGCTAAACATGCCCAGCTCCTTAGGCCACTCCTCATAGGGCTTGTTCTATGCTTTCATCCAGTTGTTCTATGCTTTCCAGTTGAAAGCAGAGAATGTGGATTATCTACCTTGATAATCTGGATTACGTAGAACTGTAGAAGGGCCTCCAGCAAAACTGCTTAAAGCCTGACCTGGAATCACGTTCATGGCATCCTACCAACCCTCCACCTACACCTTTAATGATATTGATACCATTCCAAGTATTGATAGTGATCAGTACCTGGAATAACTGAAAACTTCGATTTCCATATGCATTGGAATGCTCTGCAATTGTTTGTTAATTGGAAACACATCAAAACAAAGCCATCAATCAGTCCAGACAAGATAAGCCAAGATGGATAGCTAACGAGGTCATGTTGTGCCATTCCATGATAAGCTACTGTTTTCTAACAAGTGGTTTTCCCATGCAACCTAACACCCGTTATACATATCCAGGCCGTCCCTGAGTTACAAATATCTAACTTGCAAACAACCCCTAGTTAAGAACAGGGGTGAGACAACAGGAAGTGGGGGGAATCTCCCCCTCGGAAGGGGAATCCACCCCTAGAAGAGTCATTATGAGGGGGAAAGAGGTCTCCACTGAAGCTTTCTCACCAATCCTTGTTTCCACTATTAGCCAATTTTCCAAAATCTACTAGAGGCACAGTGGACAGATGAGAGGAACTATGGGATCTACTGGATCACTTGGTCCTGGATCACAAGTGACCTGGTAGTGTAGTCCAATGGGCAAAGGGGCAGACCAGGTGGCTGCAGAAGTCTTCTACACGGCCATATAATCCAAGTCAACTGCTTTGAACAGGATTGTATGGCAGTGTAGACACATGACATCCAGTTCAAAGCAAAGAATGTGGATTATCTATCTTCATAATCTGGATTTTATGGCAGTGTAGAAAGGACCCCAGCGAAACTGCTTGAAGCCTGAGCTCAAATCACATTCATGGCACCTGACCAAGCTTCCTCCCCTGCCTTTATTGATATTGATATCATTAAATGATATTGATATAATTCCAAGTATTGGTAGTGATCAATATCTGGAAGTGGCTGCAATCTGCAACTCCCATATGCATCGGAACACCCTGCAATTGTTTGTTAAATGGAAACACTTCAAAGCATAGGCCAACAATCAGTCTAGACAAGATAGACCTATAGGAAATCTATATCAATAAAAATGCAATGTTCGTTTGTGGGATTAACAGAACTCAAAAAACACTGGATGAATTGACACCAAATTTGTACACAAGACACCTAACAACTCAATGTATGTCCTTCACTAAAAAGATTTTGTAATTTGGGAGTTGTAGTTGCTGTGATTTATAGTTCACCTACAGTCAAAGAGAATTCTGAACCCCACCAACGATGGAATTGAACCAAACTTGGCACACAGTTCTCCCATGACCAATAGAAAATTCTGGAAGGGTTTGATGGGCAGTGTCCTTTGGTTTTGGAGTTGTAGTTCACCTACATCCAGAAATCACTGTGGACTCAAACAATGATGGATCTGGACCAAACTCTACACGAATACTCAATATGCCCAAATGTGAACACTGGTGGAGTTTGGGGAAAATAGAATCTTGAAATTTGGGAGTTGTAGTTGCTGGGATTTATAGTTCACCTACAATCACAGAGCATTCTGCACCCCACCAATGATAGAATTGGGCCAAACCCCCCCATACAGAACCCCCATGTGGGCCACAGCAATGCGTGGCAGGGGACAGCTAGTTATATTAAAAATCCTAAAACTCTGTGTATGTCTAGACCGTGTATCCATTGTCAGGTCCAAGACAACCTTCACTGTTATCCTTACCTGTTGCAGTGTATCATTGGTAATCGGGAAAAGCCTGTTTCCATAGGAAGGTTTTAACCTGTGCATGGAAGGCCAGTAGAGAAGGGGCCAATCACACCTCTTTGGAGAGGGAGTTCCAGAGCCGTAGGGCCACCACCGAGAAGGACCTCTCTCTTGTACTCCCCAACTATGCTTGTGACAGCAACGGGACCGAGAGAAGGACCTCTATCAATTATCTCAGGGCTCATGTAAGCTGGTAGGAGGAGATGCGATTTCTCAAGTATACAATTCCAAAGTGCTGGTAGTCAAACTCTATGTTGAGACGGAAGAAATTCCTTATTAAGGTAGATGCAGCCATACGTAAAGTGAAACCAGATAAATGCCCAGTTCCCTTGAGAAAAGGATTTGGGAATATGGTGAGTTTTCAAGAGAAAACAGATTAGACCTGAGAACGCAGGGAGTGAAAAGCCGGCAACCTAGACATTCTCAGAGGATCCGAAATAAGACTCCAAATGCATCAAGCATGATGTCATGAGTGTCTTAGAGGACTTAATTTAAGTGGTTTGGTTTCAGGCTTTTCAGAGGAGACAACGTTGCTATAGGGTTTCAGTCTCCTGTTCATGATTCCAAGTTCGTGGTTCCTGTACTGTCAAGATCCCTGTTTCATGTTCCTGTTTTAAACCTATGTTTCTTTGGAGAATTTACCTTGGAGAAGTTCCTGTTTTCATGTTCATGGATACATCTTTGGAGTGATTCTGTGTTTTTGGATTTCCTTGGCGTTGTGTTCTATCCTGCCATTTTTGGAATACTGCTACTGAACTCTAGCTTCTTTTGAGAACTGCATTTTATATCTGTACTGACTTTGGTAGATTTGTCCCTTTTCCCCTTTTTATATTATTTCTTTAATAAGCATTCTTGTATTGGATCACTGGACTCTGGTGTGGTGCTGGGTGAAAGGACGGAATAAGAATAGATACTTGCCATCTTACCTAAAGATTGGACAACGTCTGAAACCATACGTGTAATGAAGAATGGGGACATAGAAAACCTTATCAACTTTCATACTATTACATTCCTCTCTCAGCTATATAAACTGTTCACAAGGATTCTGCTACAAAGAATATCTCAAGATGTGGAAATCAACAGGGAACAAGCAGGGTTCAGGTGTGGCTACTCCATCCTCGATCATTACTTATTTACTTAGGTGATCCCTCGTAGTCCAAGGATGATGGTCCTCCAAGAGTGGTATCCTGGGGGTGGATCAATAGGTGATTGTGGAGCCCTATTCTTGACCTGCATCTTCTCCCACAGTGAGGGCATTGGTTTCCAGGTGGAAGTCGGGGTTGGCTTGACGCGCCTTCCTCTTGGCATGCTTCTCCCTTTCGCCCTCCATTCGTGCCTCTTCAAATTCTGCAGCACTGCTGGTCACAGCTGACCTCCAGCTGGAGCGCTCAAGGGCCAGGGCTTCCCAGTTCTCAGTGTCTATGCCAGAGTTTTTAAGGTTGGCTTTGAGCCCATCTTTAAATCTCTTTTCCTGTCCTCAAACATTCCGTTTTCCGTTCTTGAGTTCGGAGTAGAGCAACTGCTTTGGGAGACGGTGGTCGGGCATCCGGACAAAATGGCCAGTCCAGCGGAGTTGATGGCGGAGGACCATCGCTTCAATGCTGGTGGTCTTTGCTTCTTCCAGCACGCTGACTTTTGTCCACCTGTCTTCCCAAGAGATTTGCAGGATTTTCCGGAGACAGCGCTGATGGAATCGTTCCAGGAGTTGCATTTGACATCTGTAGACTGTCCATGTCTCGGAGGCATATAGTAGGGTTGGGAGGACAATAGCTTTATAAACAAGCACCTTGGTATCGCTACAGATGTCCCGGTCCTCAAACACTCTCTGCTTCATTCGGGAAAATGCTACACTTAAAAACTCTGGTATAGACACTGAGAACTGGGAAGCCCTGGCTCTTGAGCGCTCCAGCTGGAGGTCAGCTGTGACCAGCAGTGCTGAAGAATTTGAAGAGGCACGAATGGAGGGTGAAAGAGAGAAACATGCCAAGAGGAAGGCATGTCAAGCCAACGGGACCGCCTTCCACCTGGAAACCAATGCCCTCACTGTGGAGAAGATGCAGGTCAAGAATAGGGCTACTACGGATCCACCTATGGACCCACCTCCAGGACAGCAATCTTGAAAAACAATCCTACTCGGACAACAAGGGATCGCCTAAGTAAGTAAGTAGTGTTAATTTTATATCTCACTCTCTCCCCTCCAAGTCTGAATATGGCCCAGAAGGATACCATGATCGATGGTATCAAAAGCTGCTGAGAGGTCCAGGAGAACTTGCAGGGACAGACTCCCCCAATCTAGTTCTCTTTGTAGATCATCACCCAAGGTGATCAACGCCGTCTCTGTCCCAAAGCCACGTCTGAAACCAGATTGGGATGGATCCAGATAATTGGTTTCACCCAAGTATCCTGCACTACTGGAAGGGTTCTCATCATGGGAAAAGGTGTCTCCACTGAAGTTGTGTCACCAATCCTTGTTTCCACAAGCCAAACTTTTCCAAAATCCAATTCTCACGGGGATCTGCCAAATTCCACAGGTCTTGATAATCTCTCTTAGGATCTACTCTGTGCCTATAAAGGCACAAACTCCTTGGGAGTTGGCCAAATTGTTTGTGACACCTGTCTAATTCTGTATTCCAAAGAAAGCAAGGAAAGGAGAAGGGAAATAGAGGCCCTTACCTGGCGAGGAAGAGGGCAACGTTCCTTAGGAGCGAAAGAGAGACCAGCAGAAGGCAATCCAGGTTCTTGCACGTGAGTAGACCTCCAGTCGTTGGACAATAGTAACACGATTTTTGTTCCTGGGTTATCCATGTCATTTCCTAATTGGTTCTACTATGAAAACATGGAAAAAGTTTGTTAAACTACAAAAACTTTGTTTTTGTGTGAAGGACATAATGCAACACATTTTGCTCTAGTTTTTCAATGAATATCTCATCATTGAGTCTCAACCGATTCAACACTGTGGCAGCCACAAAAACGAAGTTTCTGGAGTAGAATGACTACTTTCAAGGTAAGGACTGCACAATTAAATGGGAAGTAACACTTTCAAACCATGAACAGAAAATATTTCAGATGTTGTTACATAGTGTAACAACTACTACTACTACTACTACTACTACTACTACTACTACAATAACAACAACAACAACAACTATTATTATTATTATTATTATTATTATTATTATTAGCTGCCTCCCTCTGCATGCATTGGGTGCAAGAGGAAGAAAGGAAAGCAAAGTAACGTATGGCTCCTTAAATTATATACAATACAATCACAATTAATTGTTATTAGGATTTTCTGTGTTAGAGAAAACTCCCGAAAACACAAACAGGATACTGATAGTTGCGCATTCAGGTCACAACAAGCAGAGCATGAAGAGTTGTGGCTGGGAAAGAGCTTAGGAAGCAAAGATGCAGAGTCCTGTCTTTTAAAAAGACAATCACAATTTATACTAACAATAACTGAATTTCTCTAGTAAAGAACTGGGTCTGAGCTACTCTAACACCCATCTCTTCTAAGGTTTCAAAGAGAGGGAAAACATATCCAAGAATTTACATCTCTCTGTAACACACACACGCAAAGAGAGAGATCTCAAAGCACACAGCACATTCGCTAAATACTAAGATGTAAAAAGCTAAAGACAGAAGTAAAGGGTTGCAGTAAGAAGGCATCCATTCAACAACCAAACAGAATGAGAGTAGAAACAAAGAGAAGATAAGAAATTAGATATATTCCAATTGTCATACAGGAGACATGGGGGAAAGGGAAACCCCCAGCCTATTCTAAGCTAACGAACTTGTTCCTCATTCAGGACTAGAGACTTGGGCAGTGTGGGGTTGAATCCCAACAACTGGCACCCATGGGGATTGGTAGATGCCGGATAAATATATTTCTTGTTGCTTGAGAGTTACTATTAAAACAGGACTAACTAATATTATTCCCCACACTATCATAAACTCTGAATTGACTTGATATAAATATTGGAATACAGTCATTAAAAGCCAATGAAGATCATGAAAGACAAACATAATGTAACACGGTTTCACGACATTATATAAAAGGTTTTGCCCATGCAGTTAAATGGTAGTTACGGTAAAATTTATTTTAATGTTAAGTATTTAAAGCATTTTTTTCAGTTGTTTTGCTTGATACCAAGGGAAATTTTAAATAATACTAACAATAGCATGAATAAATCCTACCCTTCCCCCTCACCTCCCTACTATACATTGTGGGAAAATATTAATATAATAATAATGATCAGATGATTCATTGGAACTTGTGCCACAAATACCATCTGCCTGCAACAAAGAACTGGTGGGATCACAAGCCAGAAAAAGTTACAGAGAATGAACACATCAAGCTACTCTGGGAATTCCGGATTCAGACAGACAGAGTTTTGGAACACAACACTCCTGACCTCACGATCGTGTTAAAAAATAAAGTATGGATTGTCGATGTTGCAATCCCAGGTGACAGCAGGATTGAAGAGAAACAACTGGAAAAGATGACACGATATGAGGATTTAAAGATCGAACTGCAAAGACTCTGGCACAAGCCAGTCAAGGGGGTCCCAGTGGTGATGGGCACACTGGGTGCAGTGCCTAAAGACCTTGGCCTGCACTTAAAAACAATCGGCACTGACAAAATTACCACCTGTCCTCTGCAAAAAGCCACCCTGCTTGGATCTGCCCTCCTCTGAGGCTGAGAGAGTGTGACTTGCCCAAGGGCACCCATGTGTGTTTTACAGAAATGTGTATCTTTTACAGAACTGCCTGTTAATATGTGTGTTTATAGAATTATTATAGTACTTGTTTTTGACTTTCCAATGTTGTGCCGTCGCACCTGGGGTTATAACTCTTAGTGAAAGAGGCATGGATGTGACATCTTTCCCCCAGGGGATTGCTTCTTGCCCTCCTTTAGGAAACTGGAACTCCCAAGGACCAGAACACAACAGATAACTCGGAATGGTATTTATTGTTCACAATGAGTTATCTTTCTTAGGCATAAAGTTGATGTTTCAACAGGGATAAAGAAAATATACATTACAAACTCTGAAATCCTGGGTCCAAGGAGTTTTGCAGCTGAGAAGCTTTTCCAAGTTCCCTCTTTCCCAATGGCTGTAAATGCCTGAACACTCACAGCCCCAATCCAGATGGCCTATATTTGAAGGCACGAAGCCTTCCTCTGGTGCCACCAGTTTGAAGGCGCTTGGGTCTCCTCAATGGTGTCCAGGGCGATCTGGGCATGAAGTATGAGTCCCAAGGGTAAAAACCTCAGAATTGGTGATGAGAGGTAACTTAATTAAGGGCTTTAGAGCCAAGTCTCTTTCTCACGTCTATCTGATAGAAAGTTTGATGGTAGAATGAAGAAGGAAACACTGCCCTCCTCTTCTAGGAAGAGGTGGGGCCAAACAATTGAGCTGAGGGAGCAATTCAACTGGTGCAAACAACATTGATTGACAGCTATAAATAACCAATCAATCCAACTATACATTTACAGGGAAAACAGACAAGTTGGGGCATGTTACATAGTTTAAACCTTTACAAATTATTATAGTAGTTGTGAGTTTTTGACTGTGCTGTGACCCACCTCAAGCCATGGGGAGAGGCAGGTAAGAAATATGTCGTCATCATCATCATTATTAAAAGGGCATTTTAACCCAAGTCCAGTGCTCAAACTTGGCCAATAAATCCATTTCCAAACCAACTGCTTTTGCAGCCATTGGTCTTAATTGGAGCTGCACAATGTTTCCTGCTTTGCATTCATGCACATATTTTAGATTGTGTGGTGGCTTGAGAATTCACTTTTCTCCTCCGTGTTTTGGTAGGAACAGCATCTGTGGACATTCAACCTTGGACAATTTTGTGGCTGACCACAACCATGCAAAATGAGGACAGAGAGATGTACAAAATACATGAAAAAGGTGAGAGATGTGAAGGATATGGTTAAAATGAGCAGCAGAAAAAAGTAGCATGTGGTGATGGAGAAAGAAGGTCCATTTCTGGTTGGAAGTTTGATGTAACTTTCCTGCGAGTTGTCTTAACTGATAAGCAACCAGTGAAATAACAATTTCAAGTTAGGCAGGACCCAAGCTTTATAGGTAATAAGTAGCACTTTGAATTGGGACCGAAAACTTATTGGCAGTCAATGGAGCTACTTTAGTTGGGGCATTGTGTGCTCCCTATACCTGGCTCCAGTTAGTAGCCTGGCTGCTGATCTTTGGACCAACCGCAGTTTCTAAGCCATCTTCAAAGGCAGCCCCACATAGAGTGCATTACAGCATTCTAATCTTGAGGTAACTAAGGCATGGGCCACCATGGTGAAATCAGACTTCTCGGGGTACAGTCGCAGCTGGCGCATGAGTCTTAGTTGTGCAAAGGCCCTCCTGGCCACCGCCGACACCTGAGCCTCAAGCATAAGCGATGAATCCAAGAGGACTCCCAAACTGTGGGCCTGTGGCTTCAGGGGGAGTGTAACCCCGTCCAGCACAGGTTGCCACCCTATACCCCGATCCGGTTTACGATTGACTAGGAGGACCTCTGTCTTGTCGGGATTGATCTTCAGCTTGTTCCTTCAGCCCCCCCCCCCCCCGAAATTCTCATGGTGGTTCTCGAAAAGGCCTTACTGGTGCATTATTTAAACTGTTATGTTTATTCATATCATGATCTGATCACCATACAATATATCCCATATGCATGGGGGTATTGGGGTAATGATACAAAAGGTTTGCTAGGGTAGACCCTCTTTCACTCAGACTCAGCCCCTCTCCCCCAAACCCCCCCCTGAAATTCAGCCCCCCCCAATCAACTTCACAACTGACCAGGAGGACCTCTGTCTTGTATGAATAAAGCTTCAGTTTGTTAGTCCTCATCCAGTCCATCACAGTGGCCAGGCACTGATCCAGGATCCGAAGACTTCCTTGGAATTTGGTGGAAAAGTGTAATAGAGTTGAGTGTCATCTGCATAGAGAAGGCACCGAACTCCAAAACTCCAGCTTCTATTCTATACAGACCCCAGCCACACTCCTTTCATACATTTTCATTCAAACCACACATCTTTTATTCAACATACTTCTGCCAGGCAGAATCAAAACCTTCCTGACAGACAGGTATCCAGGCTCTGCCAAAAAACCTCCAGAGAAGGACATTCCATTGGACTCCAAGGTAGCATAGTCCACCATTGAATGGTTCTGATCATTAGTAAGTTCCTTCTAATATTTAGGTGAAATCTTATCCTGCAGTTTGACCCTCATTGCTTCTTAGAATCATAGAATCATAGGGTTAGAAGAGACCTCATGGACCATCCAGTCCAACCCCATTCTGCCAAGAAGCAGGAAAATTGCATTCAAAGCACCCCGACAGATGGCCACCCAGCCTCTGTTTAAAAGCTTCCAAAGAAGGAGCTTCCACCACACTTTTATAGTCTAAATTCCATATCACTATTGATGCAGCCTAGAATCGCATTGGCTTTTGGAGCTGCCACGTCACACTCTTGACTCATGTTCAACTTCTGGTCTACGAAGACACCTAGATCTTGAAAACATGGACCGTTTTCAAGCCAGGATTCACCCATCCTATTTCCTCATTATTGCTGCTTCCTGCAGCATAAGGCTGGAGTTGCAATAGCAATTCTGCTGCTCGATGTATCATTGAAGGTTTTAATGGCCAGAATCAATGGGTTGCTGAGAGGTTTTCAGGCTGTGTGGCCATGTTCCAGCAGCATTCACTCCTTACGTTTTGCTTGCATCTCTGGCTAATGGCATCTTCAGAGGTTCTGTTGGAGATAAGGCAAGTGGAATGTATATATATCTTTGGAATAATGTCCAGGGTGGAAGTAATAATATGATATTTATTTATTGTGTATCAAAAGCATTGCATAAATTAGTATAAAACTGATAAAAATAGAAGGAGCACAGGTAGCTAAATATCTTTTGACCAAAAACGGGCAATAGCAATGGCATTTTCTGTAGCCTCCAACAATTCTTCCTCTGTACATGAGGCAGGGCATAGTGGACAAGCATACAGATGCGGAGTTGTCTGTTCTGCTCCACAGTCACACAAGGTGTGGGATTCTTTTAGGTAGTGCCATTTTGCCAGGTTGTCTTTTGTTCTGCCCACACCACTTCTGAGTCTGTTCAGGGACTTCCACGTTGCTCATTCTTGGTTTGCCCCTGGAGGAAGACTTTCCCTCATGAGGAGCCATCCAGTTGGGATTTCCTGGTCTAGCTGCCCAGAGAGATACCCTTGCTGTTGCTGGAGGGATGCCAAGAGGAGTGGTAGTTCTCATAAAGCTTTTCCTTGATTTGAGTCTATTGGGAGGAGGCTGGTAGCCATGTAGTGGGTGGCTTTCACAGTGTTCAACCTTATTTCTCTCACATTTAGCCTCACTTCCAACAGAACCTCTGAAGATGCCATTAGTCTCAGGTGCAATCTAAACATCAGGAGAGAATGCTGCTGGAACATGGCCATACAGCCTGAAAAACTCACAGCAACCTAGTCCTGTGGTTATTCTTGCCATCGAAAGATCAAACCGATCCTATTCCTCCAAAGGGGACACGATGAAGGATGTTATTCAGTTACCAGCATTCACCTGTATGTTCTGTAACCCTCCAACTGTACTGGTTTGGCAGGGACAGTCCCAGTTAATCCTCTGTCATTCCACTTTCTCAGCTGCTTTTAAAATAACCTTAATTTTTTGTTTTGTCATTTCTGCTGCAGTATGCAAGGCACACGAGGATCGCTTCTGCAAATCCTTAGCCAAGGCTCTCCATGATGTTGAGCTGCCAAAGACGATTGGGCTTTACGTACCATTGGGATACTGTAAAAAAGAATTATTGAACAACGTTGAGAGTGAGTGCAGTTCTTTTTTTGTGAAGACTCATGGAAGGAAGTGCTTTTGTACACACTCATACACCAGTGTTTACACTTTACATTCTGCACAGGATTTTGCACAATTCTTCTGCTTTAAGAGAAATGAGTCAAAGGTGGCAAAGAATCGCTCCCGGTTTGTCTCAAAATGACTGGCAACCCTTTATTCTTGTTGTGTTTATTTTGTTTGGATCCAGCCTATCCACTCCTGAATAATAGGAGTGTTTTCAAAACTGTGATGCAGTAGATAAACATCATGGCACATCCTCTGAGTTAACCTCATTGGATTCCATTTGCATTTTCTATTTTTCTGCTACAAAAGCGCTCAGGGTGAGGAATGCACATCATTAAAATGTAAGAAGCAATAAGACACAGGTTCAAATTTCCACCTGGGCATGGAATCCCACTGTGGGCTAGTCACACTATCTCAACCTCAAAGAAAGGCAAGAGCAAACTCCCTCTGAAGAAATTAGGCCAAGAAACCCTTGTGATAGTTTTATCATTTGAAACGCCTTGAAGGCACACACGACAAAAAAAACAAAACAAAAACAAAAACACAACAACAACAACAACAAAACAATGTGTTGTCTAAAGTTTTCATGGACAGAATCCCTAGGTTGCTGTGAGTTTTCCGGGCTGTATGGCCATGTTCCAGCAGCATTCTCTCCTAATGTTTCGCCTGCATCTGTGGCTAATGGCATCCTCAGAGGTTCTGTTGCTAGTGAAGCAAGTGGGGTGTATATATATCTGTGGAATTATGTCCAGGGTGGGAGAAAGAACCCTTGTCTGTTTAGAGCAAGTGTGAATGTTGCAATTAGGCTACTCGACACTATTCAATTGCAACATGCACACTTGCTTTTAACAGACAAAGATTCTTTCTCCCATTGTGGACATTATTCCACAATAATATATATACACTCCACTTGCCTCTCTGCCAACAGACCTCTGAAGATGCCTCTCAGCCGCAGATACAGGCGAAACATCAGGAGATAATGCTGCTGGAACATGGCCATACAGCCTGGAAAAGTCACAGCACCCCCCCCTCCCAAAACAAACAAACAAACAAACAAAAAGCCTCTACATAATCTGTGACCTAAAGCTCTTTCTTTTCACTTCAGAATACATGAAAGAGGAGCAACAGAGCATAAAGAATGAACAGAGGTGTTGCTGGAAGAATAGACAGCTGAGTTGTTGGAAGCTGGTTACTGCCATATTCACAATGATCTTTTACTCCCATTTCCAAACATTAGAATCGAAAGACGTTCATAACATCTTTATTCATTTTAGCGCCTGGCAATACTCTGGAACTGATTACGTCTGGGCGGGCCTCGTTACCACCTTATGTGACGACATCGAGAAATATTTTGGTCAAGTCCCTATGAGTGTCTACCGGATCATGGAACCGAACAAAGGCAAGAATTGGAGCTGCAGGAAGTACTTCTATGTACCCTTATTTGTTGCAATCCTTCTGATTTGCGGAGTGGTTGCTGGACTTGTCACCGCCATCTGCCTTTACGGCGTCCCACTTGGCACCTTTATTGGAAACATCATCGTGTTGAGTGAGGTTATCATCGGCTCAGTGCTTATAGCCCCAGTATATTCAACAGTCAAGAAGGTCTGCTTTTTGGTTTGGGATGCAATATTCACCCAAAAGACCCAACTGGTGATGAAGATGAACCGGACGGATGTCAGCGCCCAGCTGGGCTTTATGGGCAAAGTCAAGAAGGAAGTCAAGACCATCATCAGTTATCTCCAGTTCATGGAGACCATCCAGAAGAAGAGGTTCAGAGTAGTTCTGAAGATCACCAGCTTGGACCAATGTACCCCTGATAAAGTGATGAGCGTCCTTGAGGCGATGAACCTCCTCCTCTCCGGCTCCGATTCCCCATTCATCTCCATCTTGGTGGCCGACCTGAATGTGATCATGGAATGTGTGGAGAGCAAAAGCTACACGGCCAGCAACGGCTACATGGTCCTCAGCCGCATGATCAACCTGCCCTTTTCCATCCCTAAGATATATTACTACAACAAAATTAAGCTCGGGAAAAATGTGAAGCATGCGAAAGAGCAGAACTGGCCTAAGGCCCTTAATGAGCCAGAGCTATGCGGTTGCTTTAAATCTGCTGATCAGAAGCTGTGTGGCACATGCGGAGATGACAGCCAGGTGCCTTTGGTGGTCATCCCTCCTACTACGAAGGAAGAAGAAGAAAAGTTGATCCGCAACGCCATTGACTACCTGGGTGAAAACATGATGGAGTACGTGATCAGCAACAAGTGGCAAAGGCTCACCTACACCATTGTGGTCATGGCCAGGTTCATGGTGAAGACGTTTTATCCACACAAGTTTAATCCGCAAAAGGTGGCATCCTGGGTGGTCCTTGCCAACCAGTGGCCCTGCCGACTAAGCTGGATCTTGCAGTGCATTGAGGACGACAAGCAAATGGGAGCTTTCTCTGAGGAGCAAGAAAGGAAAGATACTACACTGTTGAAGGTGTATGAGGTGTACATGGAAGAATTTGATTTTTTAAAAGACAAACTGAAGAAGCAGTTGGAGCTGGATGGGGACCCGGAGGTTTTCCAGAACTTCCTTAAAAAAGAGTTTGAGGAGAAAAACTCCAAATCTTCCACGTTCCTGGTGGAGGATGTCGAATTCTTCCTGCCCTGCACAGTCAATCTGGATTCTTCCTTGAAGAGGCGCATGGAGCTCGAGCGAGGCAACCGCAACCTTAATTGGACCAAGGACACTGAAGGGCTTTCTAAAAGCAAACTCTTGGAGATGTCAGAAGAGGACATCTGTGAGAAGGTAAGAGACTAGGAACAATATATGCTTAGGGACCATGAAGCTATCTAGTCCAACCAACAGCAATGCATTCCTGAAAAGTATCCACCAAACTTCTGTTGTGGGGGTAGAAGAGGAAAGAGTACTACACACACAACACCCGTGCTAGGTAGGCACATGAATTCCTCCTCCCATGGCTTCTTCCAGTTGTGCAATGGGACGGTCTCCAAGCAATCAGTTATTTATTTATTTACTTGTATTTGTATTTACTTTCTCAGCCCGCAGGCGACTCAAGGCGATTTACAGGGCAACAATTTGATGATCACAATACCACTTTTACAATTAAAACATTAATATATAATACTAGCTTGAGTACCCAGCGGTGCCCGGGTTATTTGAAAAAGGCATTGTTTACCTTGAGGTGTTTGATAATATCATTTAGTTAATTAGTAACAGTATTTATTAGAAAAATGCCAGTTTTTGATTTGATTTTTTAATGAATGCTCCCATTAGAAAATGCATAAGGACGTGGGTGAACTACAATTCCCAGAATCATGGATCGATCCTCCCCAAACCAGGCCAGTATGTAGTTGGCCATGTTGGGGGTGTGTGCCAAGTTTAGTCCAGATCTGTCGTGGGCTGGGTTCATGCCAAGGACAATCCAGATCCATTTTCGAAGGGTCTTGATGCAAGGTGAACTACAACTTCCATCCTGTTGAGTCAGGTCCCAAAACACCTCCAGTCTGTTCAGTTACCGATAAATTCGTCTGTGTTTGCTGTGTGCCATAGGAAAGGGTAGGAAGGGGTTAAGATACAGGCAGTGGGCGGGGTCATGCAAATTCCACACAAGGAACCCTGGGATGCCTGCCTGTGGTGGAGGAAACACGTCAAATCTAGGATGTATTTTTCCCCAAATGAAAGCATCCCTTGGGTGGTGGGTCGTAGGGTTTGGGGAGGACATTGGTAGTGTTTGGCTGCATGTTCATGGCACTCACTATAACCTGCAATGTGAGTTGAGGGAGTACCTTTGGAGTCTTCTCAGCACTTGGAACTATAGCCTGTTTGTAGAGGCCAGAGGCTGTTTGTGTAAGTGGATGTCTCCGTCACATACACAAATACACATTTTTCACTTTTATTATGTGTATAGATAGATAGATAAAACCACAAGGAATCAATAAAAACATAAATCATTAGCATCTCCTTGTTAAAACAGTGTCCAGTCCCATTGTCTAGTTCAGTGTTTCTCAACCTGTGGGTCCCCAGGTGTTTTGGCCTACAACTCCCAGAAATCCCAGCCACTTTACCAGCTGTTAGGATTTCTGGGAGTTGAAGGCCAAAACATCTGGGGAGCCGCAGGTTGAGAGCCACTGGGATAGTTAGTTTCAATCTCCACAACGCTGCAGAGTCTTGGTCACAGTTAGCAGAGATTTTATAATAGCCTCTGACCTTGTATTGTAGCTCACCAGCTTTAATAAGCACACTTGAGCTCTGGCTTTCATCCAAACTCCTTTGGAAGTTTATTCTTCAGTCATTGCTACATACAACTATTTACAGGTCTGCTATCAGTATACAGAGATACCCACAAACACAGTAAGACATTCACAGGACAAGGATGGCAAAGGATTACAGATCCAGAGAGATCCATGGCAAAGAATCTAAGATGGCAGACAGCAAGTATATGGCAAAGAGGAAGTTCACATATATGCCAGGGATCACAGGATATGACTCAGCTGTCCCTCTAGGATCACATCTCTAAACTCTTTCAGTGGACTGTGCCGTGAATACATGTACATTAGAATGGTATTTTTCACACACTGGGGCTACATGCAATGCATTCCTATCTAATGTATCACTTTCAACCTCAGAGCTTGGTTTCAAACTGTTGATGTGCAGTGTTTGCAGCTGTCAAAATCCCCTCTCTTCCTTTGCTTTCCTTTTATAGATGGATGAGCTTCATCTGAAAAATGCCCAGCAGTACAAAGACCGGTTGAGAAAGCATCACTTGAATGGTCGGGCACTGGTGTACAGCAAACAAAAGGATATCAAGAAGGTCCTTAACATGAGCCTTGGGGATTGGGTGGCCTTCCGCGTGCATTTTCTTAAGCGGGTCCCCGCAGAGGGTTCACACCATTCCATATTCCCATTCTATTACTTTGCTAATGAAAAACGGGTTGACTTGCAGACGAGCCCACCTCTTAAGGAAGAAGGTGGTCCTTCTCCAAGCAAACTATCCAACAATAAGACTTTCGAAAGCTGAGTCCCCTCCACATAAACTGGACGATTCCAGTCGCCCAAAACAAATTGTGGGGGAACTAGCATCTGATATAGATCAGAACAGTTCAAGAAATGTAATGAAATAAGAACTTTAACAGATCAAGGTCAGGGATTGTCTGTCCCCAGATGATTAAAGAAGAACTCCTGGACTGGGTTGTTGTAGGTTTTTTCGGGCTATATGGCCATGGTCTAGAGGCATTCTCTCCTGACGTTTCGCCTGCATCTATGGCAAGCATCCTCAGAGGTAGTGAGGTCTGTTGGAACTAGAAAAATCTAATTACCTCTCAACATCTAATTACCTCTCAACAAAAGTTTGCCCCAGGCACAGTCAGGCCATTGTATGCTAATCAAGGTGGTCAGTTGAAACATTCACACCTAACCCCAGCAGAGAAGAGTCCTTTGTCTCAACCTGGTCATTCCACAGATATATAAACCCTTTTTCCTAGTTCCAACAGACCTCACTACCTCTGAGAATGTTTGCCATAGATGCAGGCGAAACGTCAGGAGAGAATGCCTCTAGACCATGGCCATATAGCCCAAAAAAACCTACAACAACCCAGTGATTCCGGCCATGAAAGCCTTCGACAACTCCTGGACTGCTTATCTACCCCTATTTTAAGTATCCGAAGGCCCCAGATTGCTTGTCTCCATATTGTTTGCATAAAACAGTGTTATAATTGGTGGGTTAGTCAATTAGCACTTCTCTCAATTCATTAGTTGGAGTGCAAGTGAGGTCTAATTTAGGCTAGGAACATGGCTACGGAGGGTCCATACCTGGCGAGCATCTACGCTAAAGCCCGAAGTTCCGAATTGAAGAACACAGTCATCTCTCAGTTCAATTGGGGCAATCAGTTGAGTGAGTTTCAGCCGGCGATATAAGATCTAGAGCGGAAACCGCCTGATGATCTGTATATGTACACAATGGACTTTGATGGCCACTAGGGCAGTGGTTCTCAACCTGTGGGTTCCCAGGGGTTTTGGCCTACAACTCCCATCCAGTTTACCAGCTGTTAGAATTTCTGGGAGTTGGAGGCCAAAACATCTGGAGACCCACAGGTTGAGATCCACTAGTCTAGGGATCTCACCCAGTCCCAGATGTCCAGGAAATTCCTCAGCGGGGTCAGCAAGGAGGCAATGACCCCTGTGGCTTGCTTAGTTAGAAATCGTATCATTAAAATAGATTAGATATAGATACCAATATATAGATGGGTAAAGCAGGGAGCAAAGGATATAAAAGTATACAGAAGTTATTAGAAAAGGATATATTTCATTAAGGGATTGGGAAAGGATAGAGTCGTAGTATGAGATTCGCTGCTGCGGATCTGGCTTGCACATGCGCTGATACGTACCACACACATCTGCGGATCTTTAGTAAAAAGATGTAAAATGACAAACAGGCTTTTGTGAGAGGGTTACGGCTGGTGGTCCGTCTGTCGGTGTGGATTTATGGCTGGGCTGCGGGAAAGGAAATTATTCTAATTCATGTAGGTGTCCTTGGCAAACTATAAATCATCGGAGTGGTTAAATCAAGTGAGGAGCATTCCTGTTTGATGTTGGAAGATGTATTGACTTCTGGTGTTTCTCATACATCTACACAACTGTCAGTCATTGGAAACCGCTGTGTCCCTGCTGACAGGTATAAGGATAGGAGAACCATCACTTGAGTTAGGAAGCTGCCTTGCTCAACTTTTAGAAAAGTTACATTTTTATTCCACTGACCTCAGCCCAAGAAGAACTATTAGCCCAAGTCTGAGGAAGGGTTCAATAGCCAGGATCCTATGCTTATACCTTGGCAGTGGCGCAGTGGGTTAAACCCTTGTGCCGGCAGGACTGAAGACTGACAGGTTGTAGGTTCGAATCTCGGGAGAGCGCAGATGAGCTCCCTCTATCAGCTCCAGCTCCTCATGCGGGGACACGAGAGAAGCCTCCCACAAGGATGGTAAAACATCAAAATATCCGGGCAATGTCCCCTGGGCAACATCCTTGCAGATGGCCAATTCTCTCACACCAGAAGTGACTTGCAGTTTCTCAAGTTGCTCCTGACACACACACACAAACAAACCTTGCCGTGTTTCTTTATGATTACTATGTATAGCCACATTGGCTAATGTGGTAAAGTTATGCATGAATTAATATGCTACTGATATTCATATGCATGTCCGAATAATATTGGTATGACAAATGTTGTTTTAATTATATATGTGTATAATGGGAGTTAGAGTATATGGGAAAACCGCTTGTTAGCCGCTTTGAGTCTCCTTCGGGAAAGATAGAGCGGAGTATAAATAAATATTATAATAATAATAATAAGAAGAAGAAGAAGAAGAAGAAGAAGAAGAAAAAGAAGAAGTAAACAATGACAGAACAGAGAATAGTAGATGATCTTATGACCTTGTTTAAATTAATTCCTGAGTTTCGTTAGTCAAATGATCCAAAGTATTTCTGATGCAAAAGATGGGGCATGTGATCACGTTTTTTATTACCTGACTAATGAAAGAAATGTGTATTGTCAAATGGGAAACTAGAGCGCGAAGTGTTGGAAATAGAGAAACTATAAATCCCGCGATGCTTAAGATGCTTGTCAGTTTACCGGGATATTGTCACTTGTTCCTTATTTTTCTTAAATAAAGCTTTACTCCTTCAAAGTGTGCTTATTTTTTTTTGAGTCAGAGAGGGACAGAGTCTGGCAGAGTCTCAAAACTCTGTTTCATACCCTTTGACCACTGTACCCCTGGTTTGCTCCTGATACAATCTATACACTTAATAAGAGTGAAAAATGTGTATGTGGCAGAGACATCCACTTACAGAAACAGCCTCCGGCCTCTACAAACAGGCTATAGTTCCAAGTGCTGAGAAGACTCCAAAGGTACTCCCTCAACTCACATTGCAGGTTATAGTGAGTGCCATGAACATGCAGCCAAACACTACCAATGTCCTCCCCAAACCCTACGACCCACCACCCAAGGGATGCTTTCATTTGGGGAAAATTACATCCTAGATTTGACGTGTTTCCTCCACCACAGGCAGGCATCCCAGGGTTCCTTGTGTGGAATTTGCATGACCCCGCCTACTGCCTGTATCTTAACCCCTTCCTACCCTTTCCTATGGCACACAGCAAACACAGACGAATTTATCGGTAACTGAACAGACTGGAGGTGTTTTGGGACCTGACTCAACAGGATGGAAGTTGTAGTTCACCTTGCATCAAGACCCTTCGAAAATGGATCTGGATTGTCCTTGGCATGTGGGAGTTGTAGTTCACCCTTATCCAGAGAGCACTGAACCCAACCCACGACAGATCTGGACTAAACTTGGCACACACCCCCAACATGGCCAACTACATACTGGCCTGGTTTGGGGAGGATCGATCCATGATTCTGGGAATTGTAGTTCACCCATGTCCTTATACATTTTCTAATGCGAGCATTCATTAAAAAATCAAATCAAAAACTGGCATTTTTCTAATAAATACTGTTACTAATTAACTAAATGATATTATCAAACACCTCAAAATAAACAATGCCTTTTTCAAATAACCCGGGCACCGCCGGGTACTCAAGCTAGTAAATAAATAAAACCCACTGTCAGATGTGTCTGAGATGGGGATTCTTCATTCCTCAAAGCAGCAGGTGCAACGAAACGGAGCTTGTTGGAACCTGCGCTGGAATCAACCAAATCTCCACCTCCATCATTGATGATACTGAGGGCGGAATATAAATGTTTTAAATAAATCAGTGATCAGTATCATCAATGAAGAAGCGGAGATAGCAGGTTCCCGTATGCATCGAAACACCCCACCTAGCAACACTTCATTACATGGAAACCTTTCTGTCTCTGTGAGCATGGGTGGGCAATTTCAGGTTACATCCTGAATAGACTACTGCAAAGCACTCTACGTGAGGTTGCCTCTGAAGACTGCCCGAAAGTTGCAATTAGTCCAACGCTCGGCAGCCATGTTGCTCATGGGAGCTGGATACAAGAAGCATTCAACTTCCTTGTTGTGCCAGCTCCACCAATTAGCTTCCGAACACAATTCAAAGTGCTGGTTTTAACCTACAAAACCCTTTACAGTTCCGGCCCAGTTTACCTGTCCGAACGCATTCCCCCCTATAAACCATCAAGGGTATTAAGATCTTCCGGAGAGGTCCTGCTCTCAGTCCTGCCACCTTCACAGTCGCACTTGGAACGAACAAGAGACAGGGCCCTCTCTGTGGTGGCCCCCTGGCTATGGAACTCTCTCCCGAATGAGGTTAGGTCTGCCCCCTCCCTCCTGACCTTTAGGAAGCAAGTGAAATTCTGGCTTTGGAACCAGGCATTCACGGAGTGACGGCTGAGATCGGTAAAGATTAAAGTTATTGGATCACAATGTGGGGACTGAGTTGAACAATGTTTTAACTTAGTGAATGGCTTTTGTGCTGGTACGGCTGTACCAGGAGCTCCAACTTTATTTTCTTTCTGTTATCTGTTTGCAGTCATAGGGCAGGCCTCCTGTCCATCATAATTAAGCTTTGGTTCCGCCCCTTGTTCAGGGCTCTGGGAGGGAAAGGAGCCATTTTTTGGGCAGTCTCACATAAGGAAGCTAAACTATAGGACGTAGACCAGCTCGTCCCGTAGAAAAGCTTCTTTTCTCAAGAACATCTGGGGAAACAGAAACAGAAATTCCAGGGGAAAGGTCCCAAGGCTCTGGCTGAGAGCTCACAGCCATCAGGCTCACAGCAATCAGAGGGAAAACAGCCCTGAAGTTTTCAAAGAATTCTTGGAGGGAGGACAGCATTAGAGATTCACTGAACTCCAGCTGAAATATCTGCAAGCCTCGGCTGGTAGGTCTACTCGATACCCAGACGCATTTGGAATCGGTAGTAGGACCCACACCGATGAGGCATAGATAGTAAACAGCCTGGGAGAGGTTAAATAGGGCTTTTTCTTACAGAGAAAGTACAGTTAATTAAAGATAGGTGCCAGTCCATTGAGGACTAGACTAAGAAAGCCTTGAAGTGTTGTTTGAACCATTGAAGATTTGTTGTTTGTCCCATAATAAAGACTTTGTTGCATCATTAAAGACTCTGAAGACCATCACTTCAGAAAAATCCCTGAGAATTCTCTTTGAGGCCCTCTGGCTTCCCGCTGGGCTTAAAGTATACGTCCTACAGAAAAGACACCTGTTACATGCCCAGCGCGCAACAGAACAGCTTTATATGTATTTTACCTTACATGTATTTTAACTTACTGCTTTATATATGTTCTTTTAAATTGTTTATTTACTGTTTAGCATTGATTTTTTGCTGTTAGCCGTTCTGAGTCCCTCCAAGGAGATAGAGAAGAACGGGATATAAAAGTCTTAAATAAATAATAATAAATAAATAAATTTCATATGTGTTTGAGTTCAAATCCTAACAAAAATGCATGCAATATCCAGGTGCTTTGAGCCTCGTTTAAGAGAGGAAAGTGGGATATGAATAATAATAATGATAACAACAACAACAACAACAACCTAAACCGCCCCAGTCATTCTTGAAGAGAAAATTGTTTTTTGGGGAACAAATGCCAGGATCATAGACCTTGCTATGTTCCTTTATGGTTTTGCCTGATATTACTTTTTTCTGGGAAGTCAACACAATGGCATTCTGTGATGCCTTCAGGCCTTGGGCTGAAATCTGCATTTTCCTTGGAAGCAACTTGAACAAATGCGCACTCCAGTTCTTGGATGCTAAAAGAGGCTCACGAAAGAAGGTTCACTCCAGCATTCCTTCCTTGAGTCTCTTCTAAGATCCTAAGATAAATATAGGGATTCAATTCACAGCTGCCAAATCTCCACCTCCCATAATTGATGATAGTGATCAACAGTTTGGAGAAGTTGAGATAGTAGATTCCCATATGCATTAAAACAAACAAACAAAAAAGCAAAATTACTTTGTTACATGGAAACCTTTCTA